CCTCTATAATTCGCACGATCTTATGCATAAGCTTAATTGTTAAAAATAGGAATCAACAAACTCATTCTCCATTCATTTGGCATCTTTTGCCTTCAAAATAATATTAAGAAATTTAGTAATCCAAGAAATTCATTCATCTCCTAAGCATTTTCATACCTCTATTGGAATATCATCAGGTCCAAAAGCTTTTCCATGCTTCATTTTCTTTAAGTCTCTTAACATCAGTTTTATTAATACGTTGATAAAAACAAAAAAAATTATTTTCACTTAGGGTGCTAAGGCCACTAAAGTCAATCACATTCTTACAATCTTCATTAAAAAGTTTAGCAAAATATCTCATCCACCTTTGTTGAATATCTTCTTATAATAAAAGTACTTTTTGATCATCATCCTTAATACGCTTCACTTGAACTAAATCCTTACTACTCTTATCACATTATTTAGCTAACATATACATATATCTTTCGCCCTCCTTAGCATCTAATCTATTACATAAATCGTTAAAAGCTAAAATCTTTATATGACATATTGCATTCTCAGACTCCTTATGGGTCTTTGTATATATATTTCCTAGTTATCAGAATTTGTATAACTAAACTCATTTTTATAACAAATCCTCTTATATTTTATCTTTTCTTGCACATTTTAATTTCACCACCAATTATTTTTCTATTAGTAGCTTGTTTCTCTGATACTCCAAGCATATCTTTCGCAATATTCTTAATATTACTAGCTATTTTTTTCACAAAAAATTAGCTTCCTTATGCACAGACAAAATCTTAAGATCTAAAATCTTCCTCTCAAAAATATTTTTGTTAATAATTTTTAGATGCCCCCATCTAAGCCTAAGAACGATTTACTTTATTTTTTTTGTCCCTTCATCTTAAAGTCTAAAACTAATAAGCAATGTTGGGTACATAAACTTTCACTCGGAATAACTTTACAATCTTTGCAATCTAAACGACTATTTTTCTTATAAGAAAATAATCAATATGAATTTTACTTTATCCATTCTTATAAGTAATAAGATGTTCACCTTTTTCTTAAATAAGGTATTAGCAATTGCAAAATCATAGGCCAAAGAAAAATATAATATGATCTTACTATCTTCATTAGTCGCTCCAAAGCCATAGCCACCATGAATTTTCAAAATCATCTACCTCTCTACCAACATGTCAATTTAAATCTCCTCTAATAAAAACTCTTTTTTCAAGAAGTATCATTTGTATTAATTCTTATAGGTCATTCCAAAATTTTAATTTTAAACGCATATCTAAACCTACTTGAAGAGCATAAGTGCTTATAATATTAATAATCTTAGCATCAACAACAATCTTTAAAGCTATAATTCTATCTCTAATTCTATTAATTTTTACAATATTATCTTTCAAAATCTTATCTATAATCACACCTACATTATTTCTAGTAAGACTCATACCAGAATATCATAGTTTAAATTCAAAATTATCAATCCCCTTAGCCTTCTCTCCAACCCATTTAATTTCTTGAATGCATAGAATACTTATCTTTCTATGAATAATAATATTTATTAACTTTATTAATTTGCATGTAAGTGAACTTATATAAAAATACATTATCACCCATATATATATATATATATATACCTATCCTAATTTTAGTTTCATGGACTAGCTTCTTTGCCCACATCTGTTCATGATGTGGGAACCATTGTCTATTTAACACTGCACCCGGGTATATATATATTGGCTCATCACCGTGGTCATCGTAATCAAACACTCGCCATGCATGAAGGCATACCTCACTCTTTTTTTCTTGCTTCAACAACATGTTTGATTGATCTTAATCTAGCCATGAAGAACAAGAATCATATGAAGACCCTGCATCCGTTCTACCTTTGATTCGATCAAAAAGAACAAGATTATATGACGACCCTACATCCACTGTATATTTGATCCAGAAGGGGAAAATAAGATTATACAAATAGCACACGCCCTTTGTATCTTTGATCCAGCTAGGAAGACTAAAAGTGTCAAAATTTTAACTAATAGGAGGCCACTTCTTAAAAATCTGAGAAAGAAACAAAATCTGATATGTAAATTACATAACTTCTTGTCCAAATTACATTGCTAAATGCCATGAACGTCTCTCATGGCACCCTATGGATGTACGAGCAAACAAAATAAACTTTATCAAAATTATAAATTCATAACAAAATAGAGTTCTTAGAAAATACACGCATGCATATTAAAATTGGTGTAAGAAAGCCGAGGAGGTAGGAATAATCTCAATCACGTCAGAGAATTAGAATTTACCTTAAAAATTCATTTGATTTCTAATAATGATGGAAAATGCTAGAAAATAAGAACTAATCCTGAATTTCTACAAATGTTTGAAATTATAAAGAAATTGCACATAAAATATATATGTTAGTATTATACAAAAGAAGTTATAAAGTGCATCAATTAAATAAGACAAATGCTTATAGTTTGACTCGATCGATTAGATCAATAAGCCAAGGACCAAAGATTAAACTCACTAGCTCCTAGTGGATGCAAGGGCCGTCATGAAATGTTGTCAATCGGTACACTTTGTATAACATGTAAGATTGTAAGCATATTTTAAAAAAATAAAAAATTCAAGGCAAGGAACAGTTTGTGCTATATACCTAAAACTTGGGTCAATTAATTAGAGCCATCCAGCATCTCTTAATAAATTAAAGCTATTGATATTCCAACTTAAAACGCAGAATTACTATTATTTAAACTTGGGCATTCCAATGGAAATGAGCTCCATGTAAGACCCATAATTTAGGCAACTCACAAGTAGAGCAGTAAGTCCTAACCTAATTAAATTTGAGCCTTCAAATGAATGTAAGCTCCCTTTTAAACAAATTTGGACCTTTCAATGGATGCAAACCCCCCTTTTAAACAAATTGGAGCCTTTCAATGGATGTAAGCCCCTTTTTAAATACAATCTAGCCTCTCGATGAATGTAAGCCCCCTTTTAAACCAATTCAGGCCTTCCAATGGATTTAACAACATCCTAATTAAATCCTTCGAGCATTTCAATAGATGTAAGCTGCAAATCAATTTAGGATTTCTAATGGATGAAACCCCCTATTCAAATCAAATTCAACCAGCTCATACGCTAACAAGCCAACCAAATCTATTAATACCAAAATATTAATATACTAAAATCTATATACAACCACCTTAGTCTATTCGGGATCCCTGAAAGGAGACAACCCATGACTGTTAATCAGTTTCTTTAGACATTATGGCTTCTTTTCCTTTAATGTTAGTAGACTAAGGTCGCTAGTATTCCCACGATGACGGAATCATAGGATCTTGATCGGGCCTACCTCCAACCCCACAAGCATCTCCTATTAATTCAAATAGATCTCAAAGTACTAAGCGTAATTTTAAAATTGTTTCAATGTAACAATCCTTAATAAGGAGTGTCCTTCCACGAGTGAGAGAAAATCAACTATGACAGTTTGCATTCATATGAGGTTTAAATTTCACATTTAAATAAACCCTGACATAAATATCGAGGGAAATCATGTTAATTAAAAAAGTAATCTACCTTATGAAGAATGGAATCCTTACTTCGAAGGCGGTGTTTGAGAGCCTTTTTTCTTGAGCGAACATGATGGTAGCTATCTTACAAAAATAAAATAAATATATAGATCTCTTTCTAACTATATGTATATGTAAATAGATAGATAAAAAATATCTTACAAAAACAAGACATAAATATTAGGGTTTCACACTATAAAAGAGAAAGCATAGATTCTAAATCATATCAAAAAAAGAAAATCAAACATAAGTAATATAGCAAATCAGGAAATCATGAAGAAGTCCAAAGAAAGCATCATGGAGAAGGACAAGGCCCATTTACAGGATCACAAGCAAAAACTCAAAGAACCCAAGACGTAACAAAGATATTAAAACAATTTAACTTGGCAAATAAATTATAATTGAATTCCATTTATGCTTAAATTATAATTGTTGTTGAATTACATTTATAAATTTTAAATTTTATTTTTATTGAAAATTTATCAAATTGAATTTTAAATATTGTATTTTGAATTTAAAGAGTTGGTAGAATGTATTGTAATTCATTTTGCCTGGTTGAGTGGCCGGCAAACCCCTCCCATCAACGGGAATTAAGAAATCCACCCCGCAACCCCAAAATCCCTTTTCAATTCATGGCATGGAGAGATTCATGTATAGTTTTAAACACTCCTTATGTTTTGAAATGAAGTAAGTTTAGGCGGATTCAAAGAAAATTGGAGACTTGTCCCGTTGTCCGTCTTGGCTTTTTGTCTTGGTGGTCAGATGTAGGGATTCAGCTTAGTGGGTAAGTTAGTTATACTCGTCCTACCCTCTACCTCTTTCTTCCAACATCCAAGGCAACCATTTCTCACTTCCATCCATTCCACAAAGCATTATTCACCCTCTCCAATCCCCCACACCACATGGAGACTGTTCCAAGCTCTCAGCCTCCCACCTCCTTCAAGGGGCCTTAGTATGTGGAAACCAACAACAATACCAATTTCCATTTCAACCACTTCACCCCAGCTCCAGAACTCATTCTTACTTCCTGTCCTATCTTTCCACATGTCATTCCAACTATTAAACTTACATTAACCTCCAACAAAAGAATTCTAAAACCTAACTAATTGGTTCTCAAGTTTTGGCCATTCAAGTGCACATCATCTACCACATTATTCCCAGTCCATCTACACATTATTCCCCATCATACACAACCATCTTCACACCTTTCAAGTCCTGGCTGCCACCAGTTCAAGGGATACACCAATAAGCACCTAATTCTGAGACAGATGTAAACAATTCTATGTTGCTTTCTTTTCAATCAGTCATCAGTTTAAAAATATAAACAGGAAAAATGCTCAATTAACGAAAAAGATTGAATTCCACAAATAAAAATAATAATAGAAGTTCCTCAAAAAAATGCAATTAAACACAGATAACAATGAATAGATCAATACTCACTAGTGAGCCATCTGAATGACTTTGTCTCAAAGATCCAACATCAGAACCTGGCAGATTCTTGGGAGCAGTTCCCTTATAAGCAACTTTTCTAATCTTATTCATCCATTCAACTTTGTCACCCACGCTCTCAGCCTTCAGCAGCACAGCACTGTGAGCTGTAACAAAAATAAATCTATCATAATAAATGCTAAAATATCACCGAAACAAATAGTAAAAAATTAATGAATATAAACCTTTCAAAACAGTTTTGTATGGAACTTTGCTGGTTATCTTGAACACAAGGGCTGAACTTTTAGAATCTGGTCCATTTGCCTTTTTGGAGTCTTTCAAACTTTTAACGGTTTCTTCTTCATCGGGCACCTCATCAATGTTGCACTCCTGTAGAATTGAAGTACCAGTCCTAAGATTAATTTACATTTACAAAGTTATTTTAATGATTCCAGGTACCAGATATAAACATATAATTAGATAATAAACAGACTGGAAGATAAAAAGTTGTCTATTTATCAGCTTGGTAAGAAATTTATCATGAAGAAGATAGACCAAATCCTAAATTTTGGGTTTTGACTTCCCTTGGACTTGCTAGCTCATTAATATTTTGAGTTGGAAGTTAGCTCATTATGAGTTGTTTTTAGTTCATTTATTGAACTAAAAAGGTAACTCATTATTATTTGGAGTTGGCCCTTTCTCTTCCCCATATTTCCTCTTGGCTTTTGATTTCCCGTGACTTGCCTCTTCTCCTTCCCTTTGTCTATTCATTTTCTTGTGCCGGATGTTTTCCCGTGCCTTGTCCCTTGGTTTCCCGTGGCTGGCTGTTTTCCCATGCTTTGTCCCTTGGTTTCCCGTGGCTGGCTGTTGGTTTCCTGCGCTGGGTGGTTTTCCAGTGCCTTTGCCCCTTTGGTTCTTGCGGCTGGCTGCTTGGTTCTACAGCTGGCTGCTCGGTTGTCGGTTCTATGGCTTTTCTGCTTGGTTCCAGTGGGCTTCCTTCTCTGTTTTGCTGTACCGTTTGCGGCTGCTGTGTTGTGGCTTTTGGCCTTCCATTTCCTATTTTTAATTAAGGTATTAAGTATATTTTTTGGGGCTGTTTAACTGCCTTCTTTTGCCTACATATAGAAGTTGTTTTGGATGGTTAAGAGAGGTGAAAATGCAATTTTTGGAGTAAGAAAACCTGAGGGTTTTTTGGAAAAGCTTGAGAGCTTTGTCCATTTCTTCTTCTTCCTTCTAGGACAGCTTGCGAGCTTCTCCTCTTTCATCTCGGCCTCTTATTCCTTCTTCTCTTCGCAAGATCGACATCATCAGTATCTTTCGTCTCAAGGAATGCAAGTTTAGGATTTTATGTCAAAGTTTGTATGCGTCATTAGTATGTGTTGTTTGTAAGTCCTTTTATAATAGTAAAGTTGTATTTTGTCTATTTCTTGTAATTTCTTTATCCTAGTAAGGTCATATTTTTCTAGCAAAAAAATT